CGAAAAACCTCATACTAAAATACGAAAAAAAAAAACCGAAAAATACTGAAACAATTTTGAACTTTCTAGAAAAAATCTTTAAAAGTCTTAACAAAATCGCATACAAAAATATAAAAGTAATTAAAAAATTCCAAAAGGTACAAAATGATTCCAAAACTTCCTGCAAAAGAAAGCACGAGAGCCCCGGAAAGAAAATACACCAAAGTCTGAAAAAGTCCCGAAAAAAAATCTTGAAAACTCCCGAAAAAGCAGAAAAATGACGACAAAGGTTCTCGTATTGGTATCAATTGAAATGGATTTAAATGGATTTTCGATTCCAAAAATAAATTCTAGAAGTCCTAAAAAATGCCGAACTACTCCGAAAAAATATCGAAAAATCCCCCACAAAAAATCCATAAAAATCCCGAAAGATCCTTAACCCTAGAAGCCTAATATGAGCTAAAATGTTCTTAGTTCTGCCCTATTTGTTTAAAGAATATTGAAGTTGTGATATAAACTAATAATAGAGCATAGGTTTATTAATATAAACTGCAACCACATTTATTTAAAACAACAAAATAAAAAGAAATTTTTTGTTCAAAATAAAACAAAACTCATAGGCGGAGACTAGGTTTTTAGGGTTAAATTAAAACATGAAGGATTTCTTTTGAAGGGAAGTAATATACAAAAAATCCTGAAAAGCATTAAAAAAATGTCTAAATAGTCCCGAAATACACTCTACATAAAAAAATTACAAAAAAGAGAAAAAATTACAAATTATCGCAAAAAAGACCCGAGAAACTTGCTGAAAAAGAACAGTACTCGAAAAGAACATATAAAGCACTGCGAAAAATCTTGAAAATTCTCGAAGGATCAGAAATATTAAAAAACATTTCTTGTTTGTATCACTGCCTAAAAAATAAGATTTAAATGTAGTTTTGTACCGGAAAGGTCCCGACAAAATCGCCAGAAATCGTAAAAAAATCCCCAAAATACTCCGAACAATACCTAAAAATCCGAAAAACTTCTGTTAAAATCCACAAAGATCCTGTTAAGTAAAAAGCGAAGGGCCTCAAAAAGCCCCGAAGAAGAATAATAATATATAAATAAAGATACTAAAGTCTTATAAAAATGTAAAAGCAGTCCTGAAAAAAATCCGAGAAAATCTAAATAGTTTCGAAGCCCCTGAAAAATTACGAATGATTTCAAATGTAGAAATTTTTTTAGCGGAAATAGGTACGGAAATTGGTGAAAGGACTCTTGCACGAATAGGTCTAGGGAAATTTTTTCATAACCATATCAGTGAGCTTTTTAATCACGGTAGAATTCTGGAGCTTCCCGGATTGGTGAATTATGCACTTCCGAGATCTGCACTTGCTATCAGTGTTGCCAGAACTTTTTGGGCCGACCGGCTAGATTGGCAAAAAAAAGCGGCTAAAAACGGCTAAAATGTTTTAGTGAAAATTCACATGCTTTATTTAAATAAATCGCAAGAAACGAAAGTCTAGTTAACACCATTAATTTATATCGAGTGTATATTCCTCATCATCAAATGAATCACATTCATCACTATTCACATATCACCTGAATTCATTAATTTTAAGAGATCGTCATCTACAGTAAAATTATGGCAGCATTTTTCTTCACGTTTTAAACCGTATCTTACATATAAAATAGCGTTTAACGTTTTAACGCGCATTGGATTTCTTTGCTTAGTTTTTATTATATTCATTGAACTAAATATTCGCTCTACTTCTGCATTACTTATAGGCAAAACAAGAAAACTAAAAACTAGGTTGCTGACGCAAGAGGGTTTTCTCCTAGGGCATTTCGAAATTGATAAACTTCGGCCCAAAATTTTACAGTTGAGTCTAAATTACTCCAGGTATGAACGTTAACCGTTGCCATTGCATCTCTATGGATGTTATTTCGTCGGCATTATATTTGTGTTTTTGTTGCTGTAGTTGAACAAATACTTTTGGTTTAATTACTCTTAATGCCATAGATGCGAAAGTAAAACATTGAGTTCATTAAAAATCTTCATTGGGTCTGCATTATTGCTTTCGAACAACTTGTTTACTTTTTGCACCTGAAAATTAGGCAAATAGTAAAATCGGCTAAAAACGGCTAACTTTTTTTACAAACCGGCTAACAAATCGGCTGCCGGCTAGATCGAATTTTCTCCGGCTAGTTGCTATCAAAACCGGCTAAATCTAGCCGGAAAACGGCTAAAATGGCAACGCTGCTTGCTATAGCATTTACGACCCCCTACCCTCCAGGGAAGAGTAGAAACAAGACACTCTGGACACTGCAGCAGGCTAAACTCGTACCTGAGCAGAGTGAAGGAAGATGTGTCCAATGAGGGCCCGGAATGCGGAGAGTCACTACGTGTTTCAACGTACCTTTTCGAATGTCTCCAAAACCCCACCCAGCTAATGCCCCTGGTCTCCATTTAGCTGAGCCTGAAGACAACGTTGACAGACAAGCCGACCCGAGCGGTGTTTAGTAGCCGCAACAACAAGTACAAGATATACGTAGCTGTAGAAGCTTTCAAGATGAAGAGAAGGAGGATTCTGCATATGTTGCGCCAGTACCTTGCTCTATCCAGACGAAGACTCTCCACTAATTTGAGTGAAATTTCAATTTTGTGTAGATCTTAAGTATTTTTTATAAACATTTTTTTCTCGAGTATTCTCATGTATATTCTTGTTAGTAGTTATCGAGTACTTATGTATATCTTTTGTTTCATTTAATACCCAGAAAAATAAAAAAATATACCGATAACCATATAATGAAGATTATCGATAAATTTGAAGAAAAGTATTAAGTTGCAAGTATTTCGATAATGATATACAAAAAAATATTGAAGTAAATTTAATTATTAGTTAAATAACAACATCGATGAACTCATTGAAAATAACATCGATTAATTTTTCGCTAAAAAAGAAATATTAAAAATAATATCGATATACATTTTGAGAAACTTATGAATGATATCACTAGCTAAAAATCTAACTTTCAGTTGGACCTTAGTTATTTTGCACATTTTGACATCTGAAAGTGAGCGTGGCCTTAAAATCCAAACTGTACGTATTCCATAGCTTAGTTGCCCACAAAGACGACAAATTTATTTCACCTTTAGCAGTAACCGCACTGCTTGATATTCTCCACTCTACCCACGTATGTAACGCACAAAAGTATGCTACGTTTCCTTTGTCAAAATAAAGTTGTAAATCTAAAAACGACTGTCAACTATATAAGAAAAAAGCGCGCCCCAAAGTATGCAACAAAAAACACAGTCCTTTTTTTAAATCTGTGGAAACGCATGGAAAACGCAAAGTCGAATAAGGGTTTGGTACACCGAATACGCAGCAGATGTGGGAGCAATGATAAAATTGTGAAGCTGCCAAACGCAAAAAAAAAATAAATTTACGCGAGGAGGTTAATAGTTGAAGAAAGAAAGCAATCTCAACAAGGAAATGTAGAGAAAGGTAGCAAAATAGGAAGAAAGCAAAAAATCACACACAAAGAAAACCAAAAAAAAAATATTATCCGAGGATGATAACAAAGCAGTCGTTAACCTTTGCTAACAGCGCTAGCGTACGAAGAGTCTTGCTTTGTGCGAATTTATGTGTGTCCCAGCTTGAGCGTGTGTGTGTGAACCCGTTATTTTTACACTTTTTCCAAGATTAGTTTAGCGTTAAGCCCGTACTTTGTTGCTTGCAACCAGCTATCGTGCGTCTTTGTTTATGTCTAACTTGTGGACTTTTCCCATTTGCTGAAGAAATTTGTTCGAGTTTATTTTATTTTTATGTTCGCTATTTTAAAAATTTTTCTGTATTTATTTTTGTGCTTTTTCGGGGATTTTCTTTTTCTCTCTCTCTCTCTCTCGCCCTCGTAACATTCAGTTTTTACTTTGTCTACAAAATTGTTTTCATATCTTTATGCACAAAATTTTCTTGCTACTCGTGGTGGTTGTTGTCGTTGTTGTTGTTACAATGTGCGACATCTAACAGATATTTACGGNCTACAAAATTGTTTTCATATCTTTATGCACAAAATTTTCTTGCTACTCGTAGTGGTTGTTGTCGTTGTTGTTGTTACAATGTGCGACATCTAACAGATATTTACGCTGGCAATTATCCAATGAAAATCTTATCTACTGCATGACATACTTTGTTGTAGTTAGTTGAATAAAAATACTCAAGTAATTGGAGAAGGGAAAAATGTAAAAAAAAAGTTTGAAAAAAGTTTCATATTAATTTTGAAGAGATGTATGAATTCTTGATTTAAAGCACATCAAAGGCTGAGCTACAAGAGCGAAAGAAATTAAGCTATACAAAGTTAAAATAATTATTTAAGTTTTTTTTTAAGTATTTTTATATTCATCAAAATTTTTATAAGCTAGCTGAGAATTGCAGAAACTGTAGTAAATGAACGAAATATCTTGAGTGCGACATACTGGGTCTAGCCCTAACCCTTCGCCAATATTTTCATAATTTTAACTTGCATTATCTTTATTAATTTCAAAATATTTTCAGCAATTGACTTACCCAATCCAATGGCCGCACATGTCATTAGCGTAATTATCACCAGCGAACAGCTCTGGCAACGCTGTGCACTCGGCTTGCGTGGCTTGCGATCACAGCAGCGCGTTAACAAATAGAGTAACAGACCGAATAGTGCAACTATAAGTATGCCGGCGGGTATGGAGGCAAGGATGCCCAAGCTCTGCAAGTAGGAAGGAAAAGAAAGAAAATTATTTAGTTTTTTGCGGAAAACATATATGATTTTGGTAAAAAATAAATCGAAAGAAAAATGTCCCACATAGATTTTTATATTATTTATAAACGATAACGATAACAATATCGACGAAAAGTAGGATCGATCATCGATAAAATTGTCAAAAAGTATAACGATAAAAGACATAACTAACAATAACTATCGATGATTTATTTTAACTGATTACTTTTATTATTTTGCTTTTTCCTTAAAGCGTCTCAATGATAACGATAACAGTATCGAAGGTTATAACGAAAAAACACATTGCCAACATTTTAAAGTTTATATTTACTTGATTATTTTTATTATTTTTCCTAAAATTAGTCGATATGATAACGATAACAATGTCGATAAACTGTTTAATTATCGAAAACTCATCGATACCATTGACTAAAAGTACAAATACAAAAAGGCATTACTAATACAACCATATCAGTAATGGTAACAATATTGTTATCGATAACATTATCGAAAAATATCAAAATATCGCATAGTATAAATACTTCGATATATATAAAAATACTATATAACCATAGAAAAATTAATAACAGTATCGATCTCGCTAAAAATATCGATTAACATAAAAATATAAACAAAGATGACAAGTAAGGAAAAGGGTACGGACACGCCATAATGGTAGCCATAGAGGTCTCGATAGCAATAGAAATAATAATATTGATAAACAAATCGGTCTCGATAGTAATAGATACATTAATATCGATAAACAAATCGATATACATATGAAAATATCGTAAAAAATAATAATATCGGTAACTATAAAAATATCTACTACGAGTAAAAATATCAAATATGAAAAAATCGATAACAATATCGATTTCCGTAAGAACAATGCCCATAAGAACAGATATGATGATAAGCATAGGGCAAAGGATAGTGCTAAAGACAAGGATAAGGACGAGAATAATGTAAAGAATAGAGATAATAATAGGACAGACCTCAATAGAGCCTTCTTCATTTGTAATGTCTACCCTCTCAGTATTCCTCAATGCCAACACAGCAAATGTCAAAGCGAAATTTACGAGAAAAGATATTGCATTGGCATCGGCACTAAGCGCTTACTAAGCTCATTGGCAGGCAAAACTTTCGTTAAAAGTGATTTTCAGCAAAAAAAAGGATGCAAGCTAATTAGCAAATATCGCAAAGGAATTTCCATGCTTCGTTGCCATGCTGTTAAATACGCTTCACACTTTTGTTCGCAACTTTCAAGCAACAAATTTTTCATATTTTTTTACTGTTCGCCAAAATACGATGCTGCTGAAAGGTTATAGTTAAAGTTTGTTGAGAAGTTCGGCTGCAGCTGAAGGGCTTGTCAACGGAAGCTTTTGACTTTGTTGCGCTTTAGAGTTTTGCAGTTCCTTTTTGGCCAGTCTCTCTCACTACGCGCCATACTCAGCAAACACAAACCTGCCTGCCCTGGCTTACGATTTGTTTCCTTTTTTTCTATTTATTTATTTCATTTTATTTCCGTTCTCTATCACTGCTGTTCAATACACTTTTTCCATGTCAACGGTTTTTAGTAGACAAGCGCTCAGATTCTCTCTACTTTTTTTTTCTCTATAAATTTACTGAATGCTTGCTGTCTTGGCTGCGTTGCGCGTGAAGTACTAAAAGCGCAAATACCATGCAACTTTTTAATTAAATGATGTAAAGCGGATATGAGTAAAAAGGAAATAAAATTAATTATAAAAAATAGTGCAAACTTCCTTTTTCGATTGTATCTGAGTAAAAGTATGCCATAGTTTCTCTCATCTACTAAGAGCTTAATTGTTTTTGTACTCTTGGTAGATTCTTACTCCTTTGAACAAAATTTTTTATTAAGGGTTGCATAAGATATGGACAAATCCTTAAACATAATATGTATGAAGAAAATGTTGGAAGAGAATTCCAAATCTATCGGTTAGTTTGCTATGACATTGTCGATATATTTATCGATAACTTTTCCCATATACTTATAGATAGATTAATCTGTAACATTATCGATAAATAAAATGTTGGAAAAGAATTCCAAATTATTTTCTATAAATATTAATAACATTATCGATAGCAATAGGAACATATTTTCCGATATTTTTTTTTCAAAATATTTATCAATAGCTATCTCAATAACTCAATTGAGATATTTATCGATAATATTATCTAACAATATACTCATCCATTTCGAAATGCCAAACGAAAAGGCTTTTGAAATAGTTATTTAAGTTGAATTGTTACTTACATCGATAAATTTATCGATACTTTTTATTAATTTCAACTTTATCGTAATGTTTATCGATCGCATTCATGTTCATATTCATATACAGTGTCGGGCAAAAATGGCTGAATGATGCTTCATTTTTAATATTTACAATGCTTTCCAAGTTAAAATTTTTTTGATATTTTTCTTATAAAAATATGAACCATATTTTTAACAAAACCGATATTAACAAAAACTTTATAAATCACCCTTTCAAACTTAGAAAAATTCCAAAAATTTTTATCTAAATTTCGAACTTTTCAACCAGAATTTTTAGAAACTTTTTGGGTATGCAGTTAATAGGATTATACAATTTTAGTAAAGCAAGCGTAACTTTTGAGCGGCTAAAAAATTGCATTGATTTTTAATTTTTTTGCGCTTGCTTTACTAAAATTGTATAATCCTGTTAGCTGCATACCCAAAAAATTTCTAAAAATTCTGGTTAAAAAGCTCGAAATTTAGATTAGAATTTTGCTAAAAAAAAAATGTTTGCTTGAAAACATTTCACACCATTCATCCATTTTTGACCGCCACTGCACATATAAACAAATCTCACGAGGTGATTTTTTTAGGGTCACTCCCATCTCTCGGCACAAAAAAAAATACGCCAAAGCATCATTCTTGCAATGGAGTTCCAAAAACAAGTACAATAAAAAATAAATCAAGTATCTGAACATTTTTAGCCTTAAAACGATTATTTAGGCGTACGAGTACCGAAAGTAAAAATTTTTTCATTGTCACTCGAAAAAATCATATTGTTATTTTTTTTTATTTTTTAATAACTTTGGGAAGTTTTCAAATATAATGAGGCAATGAAAGTTAGCATCAATAGTGTTAGTTTCAATAGTGTGCCAGCAAATTAGCAAAAATGGCAGCATGCAGAGTATTTAGAGATTTTTTAATTTTAAAAGTTCAAGATACTTCAAAATGTCAGCATTAAACGGTCAAAACAAACCAATCTAGGGTAATAAAATTACCAAATGAAAAAAAATTACATTGATTATAAGATGACGAGGATTTGCAAAAATAAAATTTCAATTGTACAATTTTTATTGGCACAGTCGTAATTCATTCTAAAATTGTTGTATACATGAAATTAATATATATATTCATGAAGAATGTTGTAGAAAAATATTCCACGCCAATATTTATTTACTGTTAAACAATATAACTTTTAAGTTAAGGCTACTTGGCGTATACGTTAAATACACAACTACGGGTATATGAGCACGAGTAGTTATTTTGACTATTTTTGGACATATCTTTTTTAAGTTTTCATTTAAATACAATTTCGCGATAGAATCTAATTCTCTATGCAAAACTGAAGATAATGCATTGTCTAAGATAAGTGTGCCACCACCACGTTTTTGTCGAAAAATATAACAACTCGTGAGATTTGCTCATATGTATATATTCATATTCATATGCACATTAATAATCACAAAAGCGTTTATTTTTCCTATTTCCTCGAATAAAAGTTGAACATTTTATGCCTTTCTTTCTATACACACACTCCCCATGATTTGTGGTGATATAAATTCAATATTTTTATTCGCTTTGTCATTTTACCGTTAATAAATCTGCGTTGTACAAACATAACTGGACTACAGAATTATTACAACAACAAGCAAAAAGATTGGTAGAACGGTTCGCCACTGACCGCAAAGCACACGGCTGTGAGCAGGTTAAATTCGCTAGTGGCAAACTATAAAGGATAAAACTAAATGGTTCAAAAACGAGGCGGGAGTGAGCGTCGATTATATCGATTGAGCAGCTAGCCTGAGCTGCTGGTTGTTGTTTGCGGGTGTGCTGCGGTTAGTATGCAATAAAATGTGATTGATGATGCGCTGGGACTTTTTGCTTGCAAACGCAAAGGATAAAAATCAGTGCGAACTGCTAACAGAATTATTTAAGAAGATTATAAAGTTGAAGCTGCTTAGATGAACATAAAATGGCAGCAAAATAAACATTTTTAAAATACTCGTAGTAAAAATATATGTAGATATCTCTACACGCACTTTCTTTGAAAGTATTTTCCGCTTAACGCAGCAGAACATTGCAACTTCACTCCTTTTCGCATTTTTTTACAATCATTCATTTTTCCATAAATCGCTTACGAAAACATAGCATAAATTTTATATTCTATATTTCCCCCATTTCACACGCTCTTTATTAATGCTTTTATTATTGAAAATTCTCACCCGCTAAGCTGCTTCGCACATTCTATCGTGCGTTCGGAATTGATTATAATTTTTGCGTTGGTTGCACAATAAAAACCTTGTTCATAGTTTAGTTGACATAAAAAGTCGGTAAACTCGTGCTCAAGAGAAGTGGTAACAAATTGGCGAGCGCGGCGATGTTGGCTCTTAGATGAAATTTAGTGAGTACATGTCATTATGGGCAATATTTGTTATTGTTATAACAGAAAACGCTTCAGCCGCTGACTTGTGGGCTAATACGACGTTTCCACGATTCGTAATCCGCTATCTCATTCGTAAATCGCTCTCCCATTCGTCATTTGCCATCAAGTTACCCTTCGAATTACGTAATTTGCAATACAAATTTTTTTAGAGCGAAATGAGGTAATCATTTGTAGATAATTCAGATCGATTTACCATGCGAATGACGAACGAACCCGTGCCCATTTTAATAGCTATCGGAAATATATCGACATTTTCACCGGCCTGGTCCCATTTGCTGACACTTTTTCTAATTACTGGGAAATTAATAAATAAAATATTCTCTATATAAATTAAAATTAACTTAAATTTTTGCTCCATCTTCGATATTTGCTGTACACAAAAATAGTAATAAATTAGCGAAGAACAAGCAAAAGAAGTAGAGATGCCAGACGATTTGTGAATGTGTCGTGGAAACAGGGTAGTTCACCAAT